CGTACTTAAAAAAAAAAGGCTTAGATTTTAAACGTGATGGTACATTTATTGAAGCATGTACATTTTTTTAGAAACCTGGGTTTACATTCTCAAAAGTACGTATTTTCTTGTTCAGTCAAGTTGAATTTCGGTGCATTCCTTTGAAAATAGTCGTTGATTTTATAGAATAGCTGAATTCATGCGTATTTTCATAGAAGTTTGGTTTTTCGGTTCTGCCAAATTGCATTTCGGCTTCTATCTAATAAAGCACGCGCAATTAGAACTTTTTTTTATAACTATCGAAATAAGAACTTTTTATAAGAACTATTACGTTTGTGGAATGCCACTCGATGGTTTGCCCGGAATTTATCAAAACCCAAAAATCATACTTATGCGCGAAATGTCTTGTTGATAACCCGAGTGTTTCACATAATAAAGTCAACATTTGTGGCTTCTGTTATGCATTATTGTCAAAAATCACGGCTTCAAAGAAGTATAAGTTTAAAGCGAAGGCTAAGAAGTAATCTAAACGCTCGAAATATACGGTTTAGATGTGATGTACCGTATGCGTGATAATGTTTGCACCATCGTACAAATAAGGTTCCCGGCTCACCTGTGCATACAATGCCTTAGTTTTCTTTGCATGCACGTAACCTATAGCTCATACCGTAGTAGGCTGTGTATAGAAGAAAATGTTTTACTTAGTTTGACAGTTGCACCATGACGAAGTGGCAGCGTATTCGTGATTTGTCCCACGCGCAAATGTCACAAAAAGACATTTCAATCGCCGTGGGAGTGTCCCGGTGGACAGTTAAAAGATTTTTGGCCGCGAAAAGAAAGGACAACTATCCGCGAAGGTGGCCACAGGTCGTCCGAAGTCGGATTCCGAGGGTCATCGCTGCTATCAAAAGGAAGATTCGGGTGAATCCAGTGAATTCAATAAAAAAAAGCAAAGGAACACGGGATCAGTGACTTAACGGCACGGAAGATCGTAAAGGAAGATTGCGCAGCGAAGTCGAGGGCACGGAAAAAACTCACATGATTACCAACCGCATCCGGGAGCTACGAGTCGAACGATGCAAGAAAATCTTGAACTTCCTTAAGCGAAAAAATCCGGTAATCTTGTTCACCGACGAGAGCATGTTTACCGTCGATCCCGTAGCAAATTCCAGAACCGACCGGTATATTAGTTCTCTTCCGGTAAAAGACGTAGCCGACGAGCACAAGAACGTGTATCTGCCCAATCATCCTGCTAGCGTTATGGTGTTTGGATTGGTGGCTTCCGATGGCAAAAAAAATGGACCCGGTGTTCATTCCAGAAGGCGACAAGGTCAACACGGAGGTCTACATCGGGATTTTAAGTAAGGATGTTCTTCCGTGGATCAAAGAACAGTACGATCCGAAGCCAAATGTTGCATGTCAACAAAATGGGGCTCCGTGTCACACATCGAACCGCACTCAGAAGTGGTTGCAGGAACATCTTCCGTTCTGGGCAAAGGATATGTGGCCGCCATCCAGCCCCGATCTTTATCCACTGGATAACTCAATATGGCGCGTCATGAAGGCCAAGGCCTGTTCTAAACGCCACCCGAGTACAGCAATCCTCAGGCAAACATTGACCCGTACCTGAAGAGAAATGGATCCAGACTACATTATTAGAACCTGCCGAGCATTCCGGAAGCGTGTGGAGGCCGTAATTGTAGCAAGAGGAAATTTCGATAGATGATTAAGTGATTAACATTGTTTAAGACTCTGAGAAACATCCCCCCTTTGAATAAATAAAAAAAAAAACTCGAGAACGAAATTTTTGAGATTTTTTTTTAATTTTGACATTGCTCAATGGTGCAAACATTATCACGCATACGGTAAAACGAATTTCGAATGTTTTATTTTTTCTTGGTTTATTTTTATAACCCCCCCCCCCCCCTTCGACTAGTGCGAGCATCGAGTGACAAAAGAAAAACTTGTGATTTGTAATTTTTTTTTAAATTAAAATTCGCATTTGTTATGGATCACTTGGATTTGAGGTAAGCCCACCGTAGGAATTATTGAAAAATTGATAAGTAACTAGCTCTTAATTTACCATTACAGCACTGGTCTGCGCTAGAACGAAAATCGTTACTCAAGTGCGTTCCAATTCGGTTTCTTTCGTTCACAAGATAGTTAAACGGAAAAGCAATGCCAAGGACTCTCGAGACTCCAGGACTTATTCTTAACCAAGGACACCTCATTTCAAAATTACAATTACACTTGATGGCCGATGATTATCTTTCTGACAAAGTCTTTTAAACTACTGGACGCTCCGCTCTAAGTTCGACTGTCCTAGGAGTTTCTATATCAAAAACGATGACATCATCCAACTAGGTCGATGACGGCAATCCTGAATCAAACAAATTTATTCTTTGATTGCCACCGTCATTCCGAATTGCGTGGTGGTCCACACTTACTTTCGTTGTTTGCAGTCTATCTAGGTAACTAGAGGCAAGTTTGTATTGAAACGCTGTCTCGAAACACTCAATCCAATGTGAAGGGAAACGTCATTCCCGGGATCCAACCGTTCGCGTGTCAAACTTCCATTCACAAAACTTGTAAGCTTATTGTTTATTCCGTCAAAAAATAGAACCACGTCAGTTGGCACGTGAGTGATATTGATATCCCACATAAATTATTTCTCCGGCTAGCGTACGAGCAGGGAGGAATCAAAATGCTAAAAATAGGTACCAACACCATTTCCTTGACGTTTGTCAGTTCTTGGTAAAACTTCCGTTTCCCACCTTATGTGACAAGCAGGTGTGACGTTTGTTACAATTTGAAACATAAGCTCCAGCTTCAATATCTGCCAACTACGGTCTGATGCTCATCACCCTTGTACACTGAGGAAAATATCTCGTGAAAGTTCGTAAAATGCAATGTAATCGTGCAAATTTGGTCAAAGATTTTATTCTGCGTGCCATCGCACTGGGAATCATAATTTACTGTCACATTTTCCTGTTGTTTTTTTTCCTTATCACTGCGGTCAGACCACAGGGAGAAGGAGGAGTAGGATCGTTCAACAATGACCTTGCAGTGGAGTGGGCATGGTTTATGGCATTGATTGTGGAAACGAAAATCTGATGAAACAACACAGCAGTCGAAAGGAGGTAGAGCGCATTAAAAAAAACACAGAACAATCAAAAGCTGTTTACCTTACATACATTCATACGACGCCAGTGATGATGATGATGATGAAAAAAAAATGGATGAAGACTACTCTACATGAATGCGGTAATAAATCTCATCTCGCAAAAGAAGTGAAGCAAAGAGTCCGGGATACTACGCAGCAGCAGCACTGTTGGTTCGTATAAGGTAGGTACAAGTTCAAGTGAGCATGACTTGAGAAGCATAATGTGTTGCTATACATATCAGTTTCGATGAACTTGAGAAGGCCACCAAACAGTGTGGTTTGATGTTGAACATAATTGCTGCAGCCTGTTTGTCTGATCTAGTAAGCTCGCAACGTTAAGGTTATTGATTTCATCGTTGAAAGGTTAGTAGTAATCCCCTTTTTTATTTGTTCTCCGTACTGAGTATCAATGCTAACGACCCCAGGGAGGCAGCTCCCACCCTACCTATCGACCCATCAACTCGTGGACCAGGGACCAACGGCTTTACTTCCCTTCCGAAGGAAGACGTGATCAGAGATTTTATGCTTCAGAAAATCCCAGCGGCGCCGACTGGAATTGAACCCAGGCCCTTTGAAGTGAGAGGCAATTACGCTTACTACTACACCACCGGCGCCACTATGAGTTAGTACTTAGGTTGTGTGAATTGTTAGGTGAATTTTTACTTACATTTGACGCTTCAAATTTTGTCAAAATTGATTCCTGGTCTGTCAAATTTAAGTGAAAATTCACCAAATGAAATGAAATAAAATGATGAGGAAAAAAATTGTTGATTTCTTGCGACGATTTCAAGCAAATAAACTCAATCGAAATCATCAGTGCATTGATTAATTTGATAAACGCGCTTTCTCGTGGCAGACGTCCAGTATATAAATTAAACATGTTCTCATCTCAGTAAAGCTAGTCTTGGCTGCCTGCGTCAATCTCGGCAAAACTTGATATATCCAAATTGGACACATTTCCCCCGCTTCTGACAGGTTTAATTGCTACTATTTAACTTGATCGCCAACACGCTGCTACCGGAATTGAATGTTTTCCCTTTTTGACGTTCATTGGCAGCTGCACTGGCACAAGCTCTGTTGATATTGATTCATTATTTGACCTATTTAGGAATTGTGTGTGTGTGTGTGTGTGTGTGTGTGTGTGTGTGTGTGTGTGTGTGTGTGTGTGTGTGTGTGTGTGTGTGTGTGTGTGTGTGTGTGTGTGTGTGTGTGAAGCGCGCAAACAAAAGGGATGCTTAAATGGTCGTGTACATTCAAACAATAAACCCCATTTTAAAAGACGACCTAAACGAAAATAAGCGCCCATAATGAGTTGAGATAGCGACGAAAAATTATACTGTTTGGATGAATTTAAATGAGCAAATATTGATCAAGAAACAAACACTCCATTCAACGACGTGGACGCTTTGCATTGGCAGCTTAAATTTCGCCCAACGAAAGTGTGTTAATTTAGCTCACACGACTCATGTTGACACTTCCATTTTGTGGCAAACAGAACGTCCTATCTACGAGAGCATCAATCTTGAATCGATCTATGGATAAAAGCCATCTTAATTGCATTCTTTTATGCACCGTGCTAAGCGATTGATTAGTTCCTTGTGGTTGCGGCACCGTTTGTTTGTAGAACTCGATTAAAATAAAACGGCTCACACAAAGAAGGTCTTCTCTCAATAGTGTCGAAAACAGAGCTCAAATGTTTGATGCAGATTGGGGTGTATGCAAACACAAGTGATCAGGATATGGGAGGTTGACATTTGCTAGCGTGGTAGCACTTAGAAGCAGTCTAATCAAAACAATAGCGTTTAAATATGATGGGAGCACTCAAGGAGATATCGTTTTGAATCAAACTGGCACCTACCTTTCTTGGTGTTCGAGTCCTTCCAGGCCTTCGTCCAGCACGCTCTCGTACACCATCCGAGGACGATCGCCTAATAGCCGCTGGCGGTCGAGGTCACCCTGCGAAGAAAGAGCAAATCGTAATCATCATTATAAGCTGTTATAAGAATTCGTGATGGCGTTATTTTAAGAGTAACAGGTTGGCTACTGAGATCCAATATTAAAATTCTGTATTTTCCAATCCTCTGCCAAGAAGGAGGGTTGCTGAAACCACCACCATTGGTGGTGTCAGCACTGTAGTCTACAGTTTTTTATGATATGTTTATATGCGCATTGACGACACATATGTGCTACAAAATCTTATGTGAATAATCATTAATGAAACTTGAATTTTTCATGATTAGCTTGCTTACTTTAAAAATTAATAAAATAAATATTTAATTCCTACATGTACGCGCTTGTTGAACATTTATCACATTTATTTTGACGCGCAACAAATCAAACATCTATGTGGACGGAGCATAATTTCTCAATGTTTGCATCAGCTGTCTTATAGCGAATTCGTTTATTATCGGGGTTGGAGTGCGAAACCGAACTTTTTGTCAGTGCGAACTTCAACCTCAGCTAGGTTCTAAAAACAAACGAGCAAACTGACGTTTGTCAGAAAACAAGCAGACCCGATCCTGATACCCGATCCAGGTTGGAACTGAATAATAAACGAATTCGCTATTAGATTGGCAGATAATCGAGCCAAAGAAAGAACAATTTTGGCTTCAAGCAAAATGTTGGTGGATGACGTTTCTGCCACCGGAGTGATATTTTTCTCCCTCTTTTCCTGGTTGATGTTTCATAAATTTCCTGGTTTGATATTTCATGTATTTAGTTGGAAAAAAGAGTCCTTATAATCAGGGTATGGGTAGTGTTTTTTTCTTCAATATTGGCAATAGTAGTGGTTACTCATGGTTTCCTCCGCAGAATGATTTTTGAGCGACATGTAGAAGATCGAAAAGTGCTGTGCTTGTAGATGGAAGCAAAAAAATTTCCTCCCGTCAAATTTTTGAATTTTGCGGTATTCTTGATTTTTTTAACAGTAAAGTGATATTGGTGGCGCACGGATACTTGAATTTCCTGAATCGAGTTCCACAGTGTGCGGATTGTGCCAGATGGCCAAGATTTGTTTCAAGACTACATTCTGGACATTCCGTGCAAGCTCTACCACAAACCGGATTACCCCAAGAAGCGATCCGTCTACAATTGCAACTTCCCCTCTAACACATCAGGCCAGCTTGTTGAGTTCACTTGACCAGATTTGGTGAGTTCGTTCCATTTTGTCTTTTACAATATTTTCATACTTAATGTCCGAGTACTAGTACTAGTACTAGTACTAGTGATACTACAAACATTTCCAACTCATTCAATACGCGTCAATCAAGCAATTCAGTACATTATTAATGATTCCCACTTTGAAATGTATTGGAGCGGGACTTATCGCATAGGAAAATAGCTTCGAAATGCTAACGTTCTTGAAATGAGTATACTTGATTTTCGCTGAAGGAAGTGTTACTACTACCTAACGCTACAACAAATCGAAACAGCACTTTTCAGTGCTCAACCTGTAAATTTTCTACCTTGTTCAACTCTTATTCCTCTTCGATCCTTGTTTGCACCCTACCCGAGGTAATTCTCCTTGGATATCGATTTGAAAAATTCCTCTTCGATCCTTCAGACTCTTAAAGTAATCTGCTTGGAAGTCGATTTGGATAAAAATTTACTGCCGCCATGACGCCTAAACGCAAACGCATCCCCCTTCTGATGAAATTAATTTGAGCAATCAATTTGATTTGCTCACGGATGATGAGAATGATCCGTTATCAAAGAAAAATTCTAGTAAACTTTCCCGGCTTAATGCCAAGAAGGAAAAGATTCCCCCTATTGTGATAACCACTTCCGATTTCCATGCTCTTCGCACGGAACTTTTGAACTTCGTGAAATTTAAGTTTTCACTGCAAATTGGACGTCGGGGTGAATGCCGTGCATTGGCTGAAATCATGGACGGTTTTTAAAATGTCTTCTCAAGTTAAGATACTGAGAAGCAACACAAATTTTTTACTTTTGACACCAAAACTGAACGTGTGTTCAAGGTTGTCATGAAAGAACTGCCCAGTGGTGAATCCCTGGATCAGATCAAAGATGCTCTGGCAAAATTACTTGGAGTTGTGCCACTCCAAGTAATCAAAATGAAAATGAAATCCCGTCCTGGTGATTCGCGCAACAAGATTTCTAATTATTTTTATTTAGTTCACTTCAAGTCTAGTGAACTAAACAACATTAAGGCCTTAGAAAAAGCTAGCCTTATGCTCCATGTCCGAGTGAAGTGGGAACACTTCAGGAAGACTGGAGGAAGTTTCCAAAACCTCACCCAATGCCGTAAGTGCCAGGGATGGGGTCACGGAACAAAAAATTGCTACATGACAGCTAAGTGCATGAACTGTGGTGATTCCTCTCAAGCAAAGGACGACTGTCCTGTGAAGGAAGATCCTAAGAAATTTAAATGTTCAAATTGTGGTGAAAACCACAAATCCAATTTTTGGAAATGGAAGACTTGCAAAGCGATCCTACAATCTCGTTCTAAGTGACAGGTAGGAAACGCTCCACTTTTCCAAACAGGTACAAATTACTATGCTGTTAACAACGGTTAGCGAGGAACAAATTCTACATTCGTACCCGTAGGTACAAATATCACTCCTGCTTTAAATTCTTCATCTATACCAGCTCCCCTTGCTGCTAACAGTGTTCAGCGAGTTAATGGAGCTACCTATACTGCTATTGCAGCTGATAAAAATCAAAATACTAGACAAACATAATTCTATCGGAAATTTTGAAAATTTTGATATAGAAAGAATTACTGCTCCTAAAATGGAATTTTTACAGAAATCCTTAATTTTAATTGACAAGATTACAGATATGCTAAAATCTAACTCTATGTTTGATGCTGTTCAAACTGGAGTTAAATTTGCGAACAATATCGTCATGACTTTGAAATTCAGTGATGGATTTTAAAGCATTAAATATTTTAAAATAGAATGCTCGATCTCTTAAAGATAATGAAGACGAGCTATTTAACTTTTTGAGAGTTCATAACGTGCATATTGCCGTTATAGCTGAAACGTTCCTTAAGCCTGACCATAAGGTTAAGAGGGACGCAAATTATTTCATTTATAGAAATGACCGTCTTGATGGACCCTGTGGTGGCGTTGCCATCATTGTTCATAGACGAATCAAACATAAAATTTTTTCTTGAAACTTTGGGAGTTTCTGTTGAAACAAAATTTGGACTACTTACGTTTATAGCTGCCTATTTGCCATTCCACAGCGTAGGTCAGTAAAATATTTTTTTCAAAAGTTACCTTCAGAAACTTACCCGTCATAGGTTTAAATTATTCATTATTCGCGATTTTAATGCAAAACACTGCTCATGGAATAATGCTCAAAGTTATTCAAATGGTAATATTCTGAATGATGATTGTTCTGCAGGTTATTACACTATTCAATATCCAAACAGCAAAACATGATTTTTTTTTCAGCAGAAATCTCTCAACTATTGATTTGGTCTTAACTGATTCATATCAACTTTGTCGCCAATTGGTTACCCATGCTTACTTCGGTTCTGATCACTTTCCAGTAACTTTTGAAATATCCCAAGAAGTAATTTCTAATAACAGCTCTATACTTTCAATTACCATAGATCTGATTGGGATCAATATCGAGCATTTATGGAATATAGCTTCGATCCAAACATTCCTTTGCAAACCAAAAATGATGTTAATTATGCTCTTGAATCTCTGACTACCAAAATGCGAGGTTAAATTCGACTCAATTATAATAGACGACGATCTTCAGCTCTTGATCCGTCTTAAAAATGTCCGTGAGAGACAATATAAAAAAACACGCGATCCTGCCATGAAAGTTATCTGGCGGGATTTGCAAAAACAAATTAAATAGCGATTCTCTGCCCTGAGGAACAAAACTTTTGAAAATAATGTTTCTAAATTAGACCAAACCCTTTTGGAAACTCACAAAAATTTTGAAAAAAAAACCTCAAAAACCTATTCCAGCGCTTAAAGAAGGTGGTAAAATTTTGATCAAAAATTTGGAAAAAGCTCAGAAACATGCTAAGCAATTCGAGAGTTCCCACATTTTCAGTTTGGGTCTTACTAGTCCTATTGAGAATCAGGTTGCTATTTTTGATGATTCCTGGTTTGGACGAACTAAAATCTATAACTAAAAAGTTTTATAATATAAAAGCTCCAGGTGATGATGGAATTTTCTATGTCTTCATCAAACAACTCCCAGAGAGTAGCTTGTCTTTCTTTGTAAAATTATTTAACAAATGTTTCCATTAGGCATACTTTCCTGATAAATGGAAAAATGTAAAAGTTGTTCCAATTTTTAAGCCAGATAAAAATCCAGCTGAAGCTTCTAGCTACCGTCCAATAAGTTTGCTTTCTTCAATAAGTAAACCAGTGTTGGCAAAATCAGAAATCAATTGATATTTTTCCGCTCTCATGCGCTCGCAATATCACGCGTGATATTGGAACAACATATCATGCTTAATATTGATTTTACAACCTCCTTTGATATTGCGAGACTATTCACAACGTGCAAAAATCAAGCTATGAGTTGACTCGACACAAAAATGATTCCATTGCACATCGTTTTTTTAGAAAGAGAAAGCATAGTTTGCTATCTCTTTTTAATCTTCACCGATGGCAGACGCGAAGGGACTGCTGCAAGCCGTTATGAAAGTTTCGGTTGCATTCGGGTGTAAAGCAAAAATCATTAAACTCAATCTCACCACAGTTTTGTGAGATTTGCAGTTGGTGAGTTTTGATAGCTTGATACTCCGAGCTGCGATATCACTGCTGTAAATCAACCGCAGTAGTTTGCTTGTTGATTTTTGTCTACGAAAATAAAACGTGATCATGGGCGTTGGTGAGATTTGATTTTTTGATATTTTCCCAACACTGATCAAAACTGAATACTTCATCATTTCTCGATAGTGATGGTGTAATATGACATGCACTAAACTAAGAACATGAGATATAAAGAATTTGTTAACC